ATCATCTCCCCGGGTCAACGGTCAAAACCCATATCTACCCCCCTGGTAAAAAGGGTAAACCACCCTTCCCACCCCCCCATGGTAAAAAGGTCAAAACCATCATCAAACCCCAGGGGCCCAACGGTCAACCATCTTTACCCCATGGTAAAAACGGGTCAAAAACATCTACAACCCTGGCCCTTACAAAAACCACTCCCCTGGTCAAACCAACTCTCCCCATGGTCAATACCCACATCTCCCCATGGTCATCCCAACATCTCACCCTTTGGTCAATCCCTTCATCTTACCCCCAGGGTCTTACCACATTACCCAGGTTCAATGGTCAACCTTCTCCCCATGACCCGGTCTACCATCTCTCCCCATGGTAAAGGTCAAAACCTTTCCCCCAGGGAAAAATTCAAAATATCTACCCATGCAAGGGTAAAAAACCATCAACCCAGCAGGCCCCCAAAAACCATCACCCCACCCATGGTCAACGGCAAAACCAATTAACCCCAGGGTTCCCAACGTCAAAACCACATCTACCCCCATGGTCAACGGTCAAAACCATCATCTACCCCATGGTCAACGGTCAAAACCATCATCTACCCCATGGTCAACGGTCAAAACCATCATCTACCCCATGGTCAACGGTCAAAACCATCATCTACCCCATGGTCAACGGTCAAAACCATCATCTACCCATGGTCAACGGTCAAAACCATTCATCTAACCCATGGTCAACGGTCAAAAACCATCATATACACCATTATCTACCCCATGGTCAACGGTCAAAACCATCATCTACCCCATGGTCAACGGTCAAAACCATCATCTACCCCATGGTCAACGGTCAAAACCATCATCTACCCCATGGTCAACGGTCAATACCATCATCTACCCCATGGTCAACGGTCAATACCAACATCTACACCCATGGTCAATACCAACATCCACTCCCATGGTCAATACCAACATCTACACCCATGGTCAATACCAACATCTACACCCATGGTCAATACCAACATCTACACCCATGGTCAATACCAACATCTACACCCATGGTCAATACCAACATCCACTCCCATGGTCAATAACAGGGGCGCAACTTTCACTGGGGACGGGTGGGACATATCCCCCCCACATTTTGAAATTGCGTTTAATCCCACCCAGTTTTATCATTGGAATGTGATACAACACGAGGCAACGGTGTGCTTTAGGACCATGCGGACGCCTCCGAGCGTCGGGTAGCCTGTTTAGAGTGTTTATCCGACTGGATAAAAAATATATATATATATATAAAATGTCCCTCCACTTCTAAAACCAAAGTTGCGCCCCTGGTCAATTCCAACATCCACTCCCATGGTCAATACCAACATCTACACCCATGGTCAATACCAACATCTACACCCATGGTCAATACCAACATCTACACCCATTGGTCAATACCTTCATCTACTCCCATGGTCAATACCAACATCTACACCCATGGTCAATACCAACATCTACACCCATGGTCAATACCAACATCTACACCCATTGGTCAATACCTTCATCTACTCCCATGGTCCAATACCAACATCTACACCCATGGTCAATACCAACATCTTCTGCCATGGTCAACGGTCAATACCATCATCCACTCCCATGGTCAATACTAACATCTACACCCATGGTCAACACCAACATCTACACCCATGGTCAACGGTCAATACCATCATCCACTCCCATGGTCAATACCAACATCTACACCCATGGTCATGTCAATACCAACATCTCTGCATGGTCAATACCTCATCCTTTCATATTACACCCATGGTCAATACCAACATCTACTCCCATTGGTCAATACCAACATCTACTCCCATTGGTCAATACCTTCATCTACTCCCATTGGTCAAAGACACAACATAACCCCATGGTCAAACACTCCCCATTGTGTGCAAACAAAAACATCTACTCCCATGGTCAGATCAACAGTTTACTCCATTGGCATCTTCATGACCCCATCAACCACACAACAATAACACATGACAACGACCCATGTTGAAACACCAAAAGCCGACGGGGAGGGAAGAGAGCGCAAAAGCCGAAGCGGGCCACAGAGGCAGAGAGACAACGACACTGCCAGGCAGCAGGCGCCAGCAGCCAGCGAGGGGCGACCCACGCGAGAACAACCGGAAGCACCGCACAGGGGTCCCCAGCAGACGAAAGCGCGGCGCAGCAGCAGACGTCTAAACTCGCAGAGCGAAACGTCCCTGGCGAGAAAAACAGGAAAGACGGCGCGCGCCGCGGGATCGTCGAAAGCGCTCGCCCCATATACAGCTGGCCCCCTCTACCTCATTTCCCTCTCTCGCTCTTTCTCTCTCCTCTCTCCCCCCCTCTACCAATCCCTCCATCTCTCCTCTTTCTCTCTCCCTCTCTCTCCCCCCTCTACCTCCCTCCCTCTCTCCTCTTTCTGCTCCCCCCCACTCTCCCACCACCCCAGGGGTATAGCCCTTGACTGACATAGTTCTCCAGTGGGAGCCATGTTTCCTCAGTGTGATCTGCGTCCCATTTGAGACTCAGAGCATGTGTCCCTCAGCAGTTGTAGCCAGGCCAGTATAAATCTAAAATGTGTTAATCATGTCCTTACATGGACGGCCTCATCCAGTCTCATCCGCTTCACCCTTGGTCCCATTCACATCCACCTCCAAGAGGAAATACTTTACCATGGATGCTTCCCGCTAGCTCTGGTCCAGGGCGTTAGTGTGGCTGAGACTTCTTCAACGTTAGCAAGCTGCAGCAACAGCCTGGACCAGAGCTAGCTTCCCTCATGCTTGTGATCTCAACACTGACTGGCTGTATGCAATATATTTGTGAATAACACTGACTGGCTGTATGCAGTATATTTGTGAATAGCGGTCATTGGAAAGAAGTGGAGGGCTCTCAACCAAAACATTTCATCATCTATGAACAGGAAAAGGCCAATGAACAAATGGCGGTTATTAGAAGATAAATATAGATGGTAAATTAATAGGACTCTATATCAGTAGATAGTACTCATTGTTTTAATAAGGATCGGAACCCTGTTTTTCAATTTTCGCCTAAAATGACATACCCAAATCTAACTGCCTGTAGCTCTGGACCTGAAGCAAGGATAGGCATATTCTTGAAACCATTTGAAAGGAAACACTTTGAAGTTTGTGGAAATGTGAAATTAATGTAGGAGAATATAACACATTGGCTCTGGTAAATGATAATACAAACAAAAAAACATACGTTTAATATTATTATTTTCTTCTGTTCCATCATCTTTGAAATGCAAGAGAAAGGCCACAATATAATATTGTAGTTTAGGCACAATTCAGATTTTGGCCACTAGATGGAAGCAGTGTGTGTGCAAAGTTTCAGATTGATCCAGTGAAGCATTGCAGTACTGGACTATTTTGTATCAAGTCTGCCCAAATGTGCCGAATTGGTCAATTGATACATTCTCAAGTACATAACTATAGAGAATATAGAAAATGATATGGTAATACAAAATGTAAGTTTACACACTTCCAGGAATGTCATACATGATGGATCATTAGCTTATACACTAACTTTGACACATCTAGATGGCCGGGCGGAGTGGGTGTGGAGCCAGAGACAGCAAGGGGTCAAACTGTAGAACCCAGTTCCTACATTTGAATATAAAAATTGATTTTATCAAACAAAACTATGCTACATTTTATCTCTGGGACCCTCAAGATGACAAATCAGAGCAAGATTATTGAATGTAAGTACATTATTTACCTTCAGAGGTGAATGTGGTCCTCTGTAGCTCAATTGGTAGAGCACGGCGCTTGTAACGCCAGGGTAGTGGGTTCGATCCCCGGGACCACCCATACACAAAAATGTATGCACGCATGGCTGTAAGTCTCTTTGGATAAAAGCGTATGCTAAATGGCATATTATTAATGTATCAAACCAGTTGCCATGATAAGTTCTTTGTTGTTGTGCACTCTCCTCAAACAATAGCATGCTATTTTTTCACTGCAATAGCTACTGTAAATTGGACAGTGCAGTTAGATTAACAAGAATTTAAGCTTTCTGCCCATATAAGACATGTCTATGTCCTGGAAAGTTTGCTGTTACTTACAACAGTCATGCTGATCACGTTAGCGCACGTTAGCTCAACCATCCCATATACGGGACACCGATCCCGTAGAGGTTAAAGCTATATCAGTAGATAGTACTCATTGTGTTAAAGATATATCAGTAGATAATAATAATAATAATAATAATAATAATAATAATAATAATAATAGTAGATAGTACTCATTGTGTTAATAATAATAAGCCATTTAGCAGACGCTTTTATCCAAAGCGACTTACAGTCATGCGTGCATACATTTTTGTGTATTGGTGGTCCCGGGGATCGAACCCACTACCTTGGCGTTACAAGCGCCGTGATCTACCAGCTGAGCTACAGAGGACCACCAATACAGAGGACCAGTGTTGAAACTATATACAGTGCATTCGGAAACAGAAACAGAAACAGAAACAGAGACAGAGACAGAGACAGAAACAGACAGAGTCAAATAAAGTCAATCACTGCATTGCACTGACCCAGTACTACATTCACCCAGGCATCTCAGACTACCAGCACTGCCTCTGCTTCCCTCTAGTGTTGTAACTGAGAACTACAACTTTCATAATGACGTCAAAGGAAATTATAATTGTCACATGCTTCGTAAACAACAGGTGTAAACTAACAGTGAAATGCTTACTTACGGGCCTTCCCAACAATGCAGAATACAATAAATAAAAAATTATAATAATAGAAAAAAAGTTGTAACAACATAAATAAATTAATACAGAATGAGCAATGACAACATGGCTATATACAGGAAGTACCAGGTAATAACATGGCTATATACAGGGAGTACCAGGTAATAACATGGCTATATACAGGAAGTACCAGGTAATAATATGGCTATATACAGGAAGTACCAGGTAATAACATGGCTATATGCATGAAGTACCAGGTAATAATATGGCTATATACAGGAAGTACCAGGTAATAACATGGCTATATACAGGAAGTACCAGGTAATAACATGGTTATATACAGGAAGTACCAGGTAATAACATGGTTATATACAGGAAGTACCAGGTAATAAAATGGATATATACAGGAAGTACCAGGTAATAACATGGCTATATACAGGAAGTACCAGGTAATAACATGGTTATATACAGGAAGTACCAGGTAATAACATGGCTATATACAGGAAGTACCAGGTAATAACATGGTTATATACAGGAAGTACCAGGTAATAACATGGCTATATACAGGAAGTACCAGGTAATAACATGGCTATATACAGGAAGCACCAAGGTAATAAATATGGCTATATACAGGAAGTACCAGGTAATAACATGGTTATATGCAGAAGTACCCGGTAATAACATGGCTATAAAGGGAATACCAGGTAAATAACATGGCTATATACAGGAAGTACCAGGTAATTAATATGGCTTATACAGGAAGTACCAGGTAATAATAGGGCTATATACAGGACAGTACAGGTAAAATATGGCTAAAATTTCAGGAAGTACCAGGTAATAACATGGCTATGTGCATGAAAGTACCAGGTAAAAACATGGCTATATACAGGGAAGTACCAGGTAATACTAGGCTATATACAGGAAGTAAACCAAAGGTAATAACATGGCTATATACAGGAAGTACCAGGTAATAACAGGTATATACAGGGAGATACCAGGGTAATTAATATGGCTATAAACAGGGAAGGTAACCAGGTAATAACCATGGCTATATACAGGAAGTACCAGGTATAACATGGCTATATACAGGGAGTAACCAGTACTGAGTCAATATACAGGGGTACCCAGGTAATAACATGGCTATATACCGGGAAGGGTACCAGTGTAATAAACATGGCTATATACAGGGAAGTACCAGGTAATAACATGGCTATATACAGGAAGTACAGGTAATAACATGGCTATATACAGGAAGTACCAGGTAATAATATGGCTATATACAGGACAGTACCAGGTAATAACATGTCTATATACAGGGGAGTACCAGGTAATAACATGGCTATATACAGGGAGTACCAGCTAATAACATGTTAATATACAGGAGTAGTACCAGGTAATAACAGGCTATATACAGGGAGTACCAGGTAATAACATGGCTATATACAGGGGTACCAGCTAATAACATGTTATATACAGGGAGTACCAGGTAATAACATGGCTATATACAGGGAGTACCAGGTAATAACATGGCTATATACAGGGAGTACCAGGTAATAACATGGCTATATACAGGGAGTACCAGGTAATAACATGGCTATATACACAGGGTACCAGTACCAAGTTGATGTGCAGGGGTATGAGATAGTTGAGGTAGCTATGTACATATAGCTAGGGGTAAAATGACTAGACAACAGGATAGATAATAGACAGTAGCAGCAGTATACTGTAGGCAGGGGGTAAAATGACTAGACAAACAGGATAGATAATAGACAGTAGCAGCAGTACTGTAGGTAGGGGGGTAAAGTGACTAGACAACAGGATAGATAATAGACAGTAGCAGCAGTATCCTGTAGGTAGGGGTAAAGTGACTAGGCAACAGGATAGATAATAGACAGTAGCAGCAGTATACTGTAGGTAGGGGTTAAGTGACTAGGCAACAGGATAGATAATAGACAGTAGCAGCAGTATACGTAGGTAGGGTAAACAGTACAGTTATACTGTAGGTAGGGGTAAAGTGACTAGGCAAACAGGATAGATAATAGACAGTCAGCCAGCAGTATACTGTAGGTAGGGGTAAAGTGACTAGACAACAGGATAGATAATAGACAGTAGCAGCAGTATACTGTAGGTAGGGGTAAAGTGACTAGACAACAGGATAGATAATAGACAGTAGCAGCAGTATACTGTAGGTAGGGGTTAAAGTGACTAGAAAACAGGATAGATAATAGACAGTAGCAGCAGTATACTGTAGGTAGGGGTTAAAGTGACTAGACAACAGGATAGATAATAGACAGTAGCAGCAGTATACTGTAGGTAGGGGTAAAGTGACTAGGCAACAGGATAGATAATAGACAGTTAGCAGCAGTATACTGTTAGGTAGGGGTTTAAAGTGACTAGGCAACAGGATAGATAATAGACAGTTAGCAGCAGTATTTACTGTAGGTAGGGGTAAAGTGACTAGGCAACAGGATAGATAATAGACGTAGCAGCAGTATACTGTAGGTAGGGGTAAAGTGACTAGGCAAACAGGATAGATAATAGACAGTAGCAGCAGTATACTGTAGGTAGGGGTAAAGTGACTAGGCAACAGGATAGATAATAGACAGTAGCAGCAGTATACTGTAGGTAGGGGTAAAGTGACTAGACAACAGGATAGATAATAGACAGTAGCAGCAGTATACTGTAGGTAGGGGTAAAGTGACTAGACAACAGGATAGATAATAGACAGTAGCAGCAGTATACTGTAGGTAGGGGTAAAGTGACTAGACAACAGGATAGATAATAGACAGTAGCAGCAGTATACTGTAGGTAGGGGTAAAGTGACTAGACAACAGGATAGATAATAGACAGTAGCAGCAGTATACTGTAGGTAGGGGTAAAGTGACTAGACAAACAGGATAGATAATAGACAGTAGCAGCAGTATACTGTAGGTAGGGGGTAAAGTGACTAGACAACAGGATAGATAATAGACAGTAGCAGCAGTATACTGTAGGTAGGGGTAAAGTGACTAGACAACAGGATAGATAATAGACAGTAGCAGCAGTATACTGTAGGTAGGGGTAAAGTGACTAGACAACAGGATAGATAGGACTAGACAACAGGATAGATAATAGACAGTAGCAGCAGTATACTGTAGCTAGGGGTAAAATGACTGGCAACAGGATAGATAATAGACAGTAGCAGCAGCGTTTGTGATGAGTGTGGAAGTGTGGAAGTGGTGAATATGTGCCTGTGTGGACGTGTTACGTGTGAGTGAGTGAGTGTGTATGTGTGAGTGAGTGAGTGAGTATGTATGAGTGAGTGAGTGTGTATGTATGAGTGAGTGAGTGTGTATGTGTGAGTGAGTGAGTGTGTATGTATTGAGTGAGTGGAGTGTGTATGTGTGAGTGAGTGATGTGTTATGTATGAGGTGAGTGCGTGAGTGAGTATGTATGAGTGAGTGGGGTGTATGTTTGAGTGATGTTGAGGTGTATGTATGTGTGAGTGAGTGAGTATGTATGAGTGAGTGAGTGTGTATGTATGGAGTGAGTGAGTGTGTATGTATGAGTGAGTGAGTGAGGTATGTATTGAGTGAGTGAGTGAGTGAGTATGGACGTGAGTGGTGTGTATGTATGAGTGAGGGGAGTGAGGTGTATGAGTGAGTGAGTGAGTATGTATGGTGAGTGAGTGAGATGTATGAGTGAGTGAGTGTGAGTATGAGGAGGAGTGGTATGTATGAGTGAGTGAGTGAGTATGTATGAGTGTTGGAGTGTCATTGTAAGTATGTGTGAGTGAGTGAGTGAGTATGTATGAGTGAGTGAGTGTGTATGTATGTGTGAGTGAGTGAGTGAGTATGTATGAGTGAGTGAGTGTGTATGTGTGAGTGAGTGAGTGTGTATGTATGAGTGAGTGAGTGAGTATGTATGAGTGAGTGAGTGTGTATGTGTGAGTGAGTGAGTGTGTATGTGTGAGTGAGTGAGTGAGTATGTATGAGTGAGTGAGTGTGTATGTATGAGTGAGTGAGTGTGTATGTATGAGTGAGTGAGTGAGTATGTATGGAGTGAGTGTGTATGAGAGTGAGTGAGTGAGAGTGAGGATGAGTGAGTATGTATGAGTGGAGGGAGTGTGTATGTATGAGTGAGTGAGTGAGTATGTATGAGTGAGTGAGTGGTATGTTGAGTGAGTGGTGTGTATGTGTGAGTGGTGGGTGTGTATGTATGTGTGAGTGAGGAGTATGTATGAGTAAAGTGAGTGTGTATGTATGAGTGAGTGAGTGAGTATGTATGGGGTGAGTGAGTGTGTATGTATGAGTGAGTGAGTGTGGTATGTATGAGTGAGTGAGTGGATGTATGAGTGAGTGAGTGAGTATGTATGAGTGAGGGTGGTATGTATGAGTGGGGTGAGTGTGTATTTTGGGGTGAGTGAGGTGTGTATGTATGAGTGAGTGAGTGTGTATGTGTGAGTGAGTGAGTGTGTATGTATGAGTGAGTGAGTGAGTATGTATGAGTGAGTGAGGGTGAATGTGAGTGAGTGAGTGGTGTGTATGTAGGGAGTGAGTGAGTGAGATGTATGAGTGAGTGAGTGAGTAGTTGTTGAGTGAGTGAGTGTGATGTTGAGTGAGTGAGGAGTATGTATGAGTGAGTGAGTGGGTTGAGTGAGGAGTGAGTATGTATGAGTGAGTGAGGAGTTTGTTGGTGAGTGGGGTGTGTATGTATGGTGAGTGAGTGAGTATTTTGTGGAGGGTGAGTTTTTGAGTGAGTGAGTGGTGGTGAGTGAGTGAGTGTGTATGTATGTGTGAGTGAGGGGTATGTTAGATGAGTGAGTGAGTATTTGAGTGAGTGAGTGTGTATGTAGGGAGTGAGTGAGTGAGTGTGTGAGTGAGTGAGTGAGTTGTATGAGTGAGTGAGTGAGTTGTAGAGTGAGTGAGTGGTGTAGTGTGAGTGGGGTTGTATGAGTGAGTGAGGTGTATGTAGGTAAAGTGAGTGGTGTGTATGTATGAGTGAGTGAGTGAGTTGTATGGTGGGGTGGTGAGGTGTATGTATGGTGAGTGAGGAGTATGTATGGTGAGTGGGTGGTAGAGGAGTGGTGAGATGTGAGTGAGTGAGTGGGTATGTATGTGTGGTGAGTGAGGATGTATGGAGTGAGTGTGATGTATGAGTGGTGAGTGAGTTGAGGTGTGGTGTGTATGTATGTGTGAGTGAGTGAGTAGTATGAGTGGTGAGTGTCTGTTGAGTGAGTGAGTGAGTGTGTATTTGGGGGTGAGGGGAGTTGTATGAGTGAGTGAGTGAGGTGTATGTTGAGTGGTGTGGTAGTTGGTGAGTGAGTGGAGTTGTGGTTCAAGTGGTAGTGGAGTGGTGGTGAGTAGTATGAGTGAGTGAGTGAGGTAGTGAGTGGTGAGTGTGTATGATGTGGAGTGAGTGAGTGTGTATGTATGTGAGTGAGTGAGTATGTATGTGTGTTGGGAGTGAGTATGTATGATGAGTGAGGGGAGTGAGTAGGGTATTGTGAGTGAGTGAGTATGTATGAGTGAGTGAGTGTATATGTGTGAGTGAGTGAGTGAGTATGTATGAGTGTTGGAGTGAGTATGTATGAGTGAGTGAGTGAGTATGTATGAGTGAGTGAGTGAGTGTGTATGAGTGAAGTGAGTGAGTGTGTATGAGTGAGTGAGTGAGTGAGTGTGTATGAGTGAGTGAGTGAGTATGTATGAGTGAGTGAGTGAGTATGTATGAGTGAGTGAGTGAGTGTGTATGAGTGAGTGAGGAGTGTGTATGAGTGGGGTGAGTGAGTGTGTATGAGTGAGGAGGGGAGATGTATGAGTGAGTGAGTGAGATGTATGAGTGAGTGAGTGTATATGTGTGAGTGAGTGAGTGAGTAGTATGATGAGTGAGTGAGTGGATGATGATTTGAGTGAGTGAGTGTGTATGTGTGTATGAGTGAGGAGTGAGTATGTATGAGTGAGTGAGTGAGTGTGTATGTGTGTATGAGTGAGTGAGTGAGTGAGTGAGTATGTGTGTATGAGTGAGTGAGTGAGTGAGTGAGTGAGTATGTATGTGTGTTGGAGTGTGTATGTATGAGTGAGTGAGTGTTTATGTATGTGTGAGTGAGTGTGTATGTGTGAGTGAGTGAGTGTTTATGTATGTGTGAGTGAGTGAGTATGTATGTGTGTTGGAGTGTGTATGAGTGTTGGAGTGTGTGTGTATGTGTGTATGTGTGTTGGAGTGTGTATGTGTGTTGGAGTGTGTATGTGTGTTGGAGTGTGTATGAGTGTGTGTGTATGTATGTATGTGTGTTGGAGTGTCATTGTAAGTATGCGTGAGTAGAGTCCAGTGTGTGTTCATAGAGTCAAAAAGAGTTACTGCAAAAAGGGTCAACGCAGATAGTCTGGGTAGCTAATAGGTTTACTATTTAGCAGTCTTAAGGCTTGGGGGTAGAAGCTGTTCAGGGTCCAGTTGGTTCCAGACTTAGCACTCCGGTACCGTTTGCCGTGCGGTAGCAGAGAGAACAATCTATGACTTGGGTGGCAGGAGTCTTTGACAATTTTTAGGGCCTTCCTCTGACACCGCCTGGTATAGAGGTCCTGGATGGCAGGGAGTTCGGCCCCAGTGATTTACTAGGCCGTATGCACTACCTTCTGTAACGCTGAGCTGTTGTCATACCAAGCGGTGATACAGCCATGCTTTCAGAGATGCAGCTGTGTAACTCCTCAGCGGAGATGAGTGGAGAGGAGAGGAAGGAGAGGAGAGGAGAGGAGAGGAGAGGAGAGGAGAGGAGAGGAGAGGAGAGGAGAGGAGAGGAGGAGAGGAGAGGAGAGGAGAGGAGAGGAGAGGAGAGGAGAGGAGAGGAGAGGAAACCCCTTCTCCTCTACTCTGGGTGGAGCAGAAGGAAGCTTCCTCGTTATAATGACTCACCCTGAAGGAAGCTTCCTCATTATAATGACTCACCCTGAAGGAAGCTTCCTCATTATAATGACTCACCCTGAATGTTTAACTGTGCCTACTTTGATCAGAGCCACTAGTTTCAATTGCAGGGCAGCGGGGTTAAGGTAGGCAAGATGGAGGGAGAAAGACAGAGAGAGAGAGAGAGAGAGAAAGAGAGAGAGAGAGAGAGATAGAGGGCGACAGGGAGACAGAGAAGGAGAGAGAGAGAGAGAGAGAGAGGTCATGCTCAACATGAGCTCCTGATTTATTTGTTTTTTTTGTTTTTAGAATGAGATAAACACTTGAATCTAAAAAGAATTCAAGGCAAGAAGTGATGAACAACAACTCTATTAAATCAGAATAGAAAAAAAAGTAACTTTGCGCCTCAAATTAAGAAGTTGACTCTCACTAGCTAGCTACACAACAAAAACCTAGCCAGCAGGCTAACAAGCCAGCCAGAAAATTGAGCTAGGACAAACCTAGCAAGGGGAGTTAATACAACTACATCAAACGACCAAACTGAGTGAGTATATCAAAAAGAAGCACGGACTCCAACTTTAAACATATCTTCTGTTTTTGTGTGTGAAGATCTTTCACTCTTTTTGCTGGTTTTTGAGCTAAACAGGAGCTAGCTAGCAACAGCAGCAGACAAACAAAACTGGTTGCCATAGCAACGGTGCAGCAGAACAGAGCAGCAGCAGCAGTAGTAGCAGAGCCCACAGGCACCATGTCCCCACTCCCCCTCAGCGCTGAGTCCATTCTCTACCCTCCAGAGTCCCACAGGCACCATGTCCCCCCTCCCCCTCAGCGCTGAGTCCATTCTCTACCCCCCCAGAGGCCACAGGCACCATGTCCCCACTCCCCCTCAGAGCTGAGTCCATTATCTACCCCCCCAGAGGCCACAGGCACCATGTCCCCCCTCCCCCTCAGCGCTGAGTCCATTCTCTACCCTCCAGAGGCCCACAGGCACCATGTCCCCACTCCCCCTCAGCGCTGAGTCCATTCTCTACCCTCCAGAGGCCTGCAGGCACCATGTCCCCACTCCCCCTCAGCGCTGAGTCCATTCTCTACCCTCCAGAGGCCCACAGGCACCATGTCCCCACTCCCCCTCAGAGCTGAGTCCATTCTCTACCCTCCAGAGGCCAAAAATGACACAACAAGGAAAGCTTTTAAACAGAATCTACTAAAGGGGAGGCCAGAAACCCTTTTCACAGACCTCTACAAAAACGGTGATGTGAGTAATCTCATCTTTCTCACTGACCAGCCAAATGCATGGCGCTCAGCAGTCTGCTCTCACTACCCATCCGTAAAGAAAGAGGGAATCTGTAATGGGTGGAAGCTGAAAGTCAAAGAGACAGATGACCCTGACAGCACCATGATAACAATCAACCTCAACAAGACTGGGACTGTCATGGTGCAAGGTAACCTTAGGCTGTTTGAAACAGACTTTCAGACCATTAAGGAGAGAGCAGAGAGAGAGAAGGACACCACCAGTGACATGCCCTCCCACAAGACAAACTCCACCAGCACCACCCTCACCCCCACTATCCCCACCCAAAAAGGCCCATCCAGCACCTCTCTTCCCACCATAGTGGAGGACACGCCCCAGGAGGAGAGCGACCCCCTCAGTGCAGAGCAGGCTCAGGCCCTCCTCACCACCATGGCTGCCATGAGGGATCAGTTCACCACACTGGAGGGAGAGGTGGTCCTGCTCAGGGAGAGTGTGAGCAAACAGCAACCAGACATCCACACCTTAGAGGAGCTCCTAACCAAGGTGCGGACAGAGCAGGACAGCAGCCTTGCAACACAGCTGAAAGAAGTTCAGCAAGAGAGAGACGGACTCAAGAGAGAGCTGGCTGATATAACAAAGGAGGTGAGAGAGCTCCAAAAATACAGGCAGAGCAGTAATAATGAGCTGACCACACTAAGAGAGGAGCTGCAGGAGAGAAAGAGAACAGAGGACAGACTGCAGGAGCAGCTAGATCACCACTCTATGACCTGCCATCACACAGCAGAGGAGCCCACCTCAACCAGCCAGGCCTCCCCAGCCCTGCCGGCTGCATGCCTCCCCCCCAGCCCCCAGAACAGCCTCCCACTGACAGCGGCACCGGCACAGACCAGCCACACCCCAGCTCCAACACCCACCAGCCCCAACTCTACCCCCTCCAGTCCAGAAGAAACACTGGCTGAGATTGTCCTGTTGATGGACTCAAATGGGAAGTTTGTTCAGGAGAAGAAACTTTTCCCTAGACACAAAACGAGAAAGGTGTGGTGCCCAACAACGCAGAGTGCCATGGCGCTGCTTGATAAGGCCCAGCTTGGGTCGCCAAGCCACATAATCATAAACACCGGAAGCAACGACCTGCGTGCTCAGCAGGAGAGGGTGTCGACATCACTACGGGGAGTGATTGAGAAGGCCTCCGCAATCTTCCTCAACTCAAGGATCGTGGTGTCAACCCTTCTACAGAGGAAGGACTTCCACCCTGCCACAATCCAAAGAATAAACGGCAGCCTCTCCCGGGACTGTGCCCTGCGACCCAATGTACACCTGGCCCATCATCCCACCCTCGATCTGGACTGTCTCTATGACCATGTTCACCTGTACAGGGAGACAGTCCCCATCCTTGCTAAGACTCTCAAGGACGTCGCTTTAAACCGCATCCCGACCTCTCCACCCAGGAACAGCGGAGCAATCTCCACCCCCCCGAGATCACCGAGACAACACCCCGGACCAGTACCCTGGACCCCCCAGCCACGGCCACAGCACCACCAACCTCAATGCCCACCACATCCAGCGCAGCACAGACCACCCCAGCCCAGCTTCAGACCCACCCAGACGAGGCCTAACACCCCCCTCCCCCCCACCACAGACCCACACCTGGAGGAGCCACAGCCCGGCAGACAGAGCTATGCACAAGCTGTGAGAGGAGCAACTGGTCCAGCTCCCACCAACGAAATGAGTGACATCAAACAAATGCTGAATCTACTATGCTCACATGTGATAGGCCGAGGGTCATGGTAAGATGAGCACAAGAACTCCACCATCCTCACACTACATCCACCCAAGTGGCATGACACAAATACTATCTTAAATGATAAACAAATCACATTTGCATAATAAGAGTTTACCTTAATTGAAAAATCCTATTTTAATAGTTCTTGTTGGATTGTGAGTGTTTATCTCATTTTGAATGTAAAGAAAAAAACAGTTATGAAGTCTTTTTACGTTGCATGTTGGAATTTACAAGGCTTGAAGTCCTCTGCTTTTGGGCTAAAGAGCAGAAACCCAGACTTCCTTAAAGAAATTGATGATGTTGATATTGTAGTACTACAGGAAACATGGTGCAGAGGTGATGTTTCCACTGGCTGTCCACTAGGTTATAGGGAGATAATCGTACCATCCACCAAATTAAAAGGAATCACACAGGGCAGAGACTCAGGGGGAATGCTAATATGGTATAAATCTGAACTAACTAATTCAATCGAATTGATCAAAACAGGATAATTATTTTTCTGGCTAAAAATCAACAAGGAGGCTATCTTAACAGATAACAATGTCTTCCTCTGTGCCACATACATTCCCCCCTCAGAGTCACTGTCACGCCCTGGTATGTTGAGCCAGGGTGTGAGTTTTCATTTGTGTTCGGTCTAGTATTGTATTTCTATATTGGCCAGTGTGGTTCTCAATCAGAGGCAACGTGAATCTTGTTGTCTCTGATTGGGAACCATACTTAGTCAGCCTGTTTCCCACAGTATGGTGTGGGATCTTGTTCCAGTGTGGTTTGTGTTAGACCGAGGACGTCACGTTATCGTTTGTTCTTTTGTTCGTGTAATCATTAAATAAAAAGTATGTTCGCCTTCAACGCTGCGCCTTGGTCCTCTGTTCCCGATGATCGTGACAGAAGATCCCACCAAGACTGGACCAAGCAGCGTGTCCAGGAACCATCGCCAGGGAGTTCTCTAGCGGATCTCCTTTGCCTCCTCGACTGGGTCAAGCCGTGTGAGGAAGAGAGGGGCTTGACTTGGAAGCAGAAGGGCGAAAGGCTGGCGGGAGATATGGAGACCTGGTCCACGGGTAGGAGAGAAGCCCAGACATTTTTTAGGGGGGGGGCTCACGCCGTGGACGACGGGGCAGCAGGAGACCGCAATAGAGCGGCCCAGCGGGTTGGCAGAGGAGGCCGCCAGGTTACGGGGGCCACTGGTCAAAAAGGGGAAGGAAGGTGTAGAGGCACGGCGAGAGGTACTGGGGTGTGTTACCAGTCCGGTCCGGCCCGTTCCTGATCCCTGCGTAGGGCCAGTGGTGTGTGTCCCCAGTACGGTCCGGTCTGTTCCTGTCCCTTGCGCCGAGCCTGTGGTGCGCGTCGCCAGCCCAGTCCGGTCCATTCCTGCTCTCCGCACCAAGTCAGTGGTGCGCTTCGTCAGCCCGGTCCGGCCCGCTCCTGCTCCCCGCACCAAGCCAATGGTGCGCGTCACCAGCCCGGCCCGGCCTGTTCCTGCTCCCCGCACCAAGCCAATGGTGCGCGTCGCCGGCCCGGCCCGGCCTGTTCCTGCTCCCCGCACCAAGCCAATGGTGCGCGTCGCCGGCCCGGCCCGGCCTGTTCCTGCTCCCCGCACCAAGCCAATGGTGCGCGTCGCCAGCCCGGCCCGGCCTGTTCCTGCTCCCCGCACCAAGCCAATGGTGCGCGTCGCCAGCCCGGCCCGGCCTGTTCCTGCTCCCCGCACCAGGCCAATGGTGCGCGTCGCCAGCCCGGTCCGGCCCGCTCCTGCTCCCCACACCAAGCCTAGGGTGAGCGTCGCCAGCCCGGTCCGGCCTGTTCCTGCTCCCCACACCAAGCCAGTGGTGTGCGTCATCATTCCGGCACGGCCCGTGCCTGTTCCACCGGTGCCTGGTCCGGCACCGGTCAGCTGCTTCACGCCGGAGCTAGAGCAATCCGCTCCACCAGTGTGCAGTCCAGCTCCGGCCAGCGGGGCCAGACCAGACCAGGGGTACTTTGGGGGGTTGGAGAGGGAGTGGGGATCAGGCCCGGAGCCGGATCCGCCGCCAAGGCGGAGTGCCCACCCGGTCCCTCCCCCCGGAGTCCGCGCCTTTGGGGGGGGGTACTGTCACGCCCTGGCTCTGGGGACTCTAGTATGTTGAGCCAGGGTGTGAGTTTTCATTTGTGTTCGGTCTAGTATTGTATTTCTATATTGGCCAGTGTGGTTCTCAATCAGAGGCAACGTGAATCAGCTGTTGCTTGTTGTCTCTGATTGGGACCCATACTTAGTCAGCCTGTTTCCCACAGTATGGTGTGGGATCTTGTTCCAGTGTGGTTTGTGTTAGACCGAGGACGTCACGTTATCGTTTGTTGTTTTGTTCGTGTAATCATTAAATAAAAAGTATGTTCGCCTTCAACGCTGCGCCTTGGTCCTCTGTTCCCGACGATCGTGACAGTCACCCTACTTCAATGAAGAGAGTTTCTCCATTATAGAGGGGGAGATTAGTCACTTTCAGGCCCAAGGCAATGTGCTGGTCTGTGGAGACCTGAATGCTAGAACAGCAGAAGAACTAGACACTATTAACAGTCATGGGGACAAACACCTACCGGGAAGCAACAACCTTTCCCTCCCCACATACCCCCCTAGAAACAACTATGACAAAGTGAAAAACAAAAATGGAGTACAGCTCCTGAAGCTCTGTCGAACACTGGGTCTGTACATAGTCAATGGTAGGTTAAGAGGGGACTCTTTTGGTAGGTACACCTACAGCTCATCCCTTGGCAGCAGTACTGTAGACTACTTCATCACAGACCTTAACCCAGAGTCTCTCAGAGCCTTCACAGTCAGCCCACTAACACCTCTCTCTGACCACAGTAAAATCACAGTGTATCTGAGAAGAGCAGAACCCAACCATGAAGCATCACGGCCCAATAAATTACATGGTACTAAACAGGCCTATAGATGGAGTGCAAACAGTACAGAAATCTACCAAAAAGCAATTAGTAGCCACAAAATACAATCTCTCCTGGACAACTTTTTAGCATTAACATTCTCCTACACCAATGAAGGTATAAATTTGGCCGTTTGGAACATAAACTTTATATTTGACAAATTAGCCTCCTTGGCTAATCTAAAGAAACATAAGAGCAAACCAAAAATAATAGATCATGAAAAATTGTTTGATAATGATTGCAAATATCTAAGAAAGTCATTGAGAAATACATCTAATCATAAATACAGAGACCCAGACAACAAAAATATACGTCTTCAATATGGGGAAACACTGAAGCAATACAAACACACCCTAAGAACAAAAAAGGAACAGCACATTAGAAATCAGCTGGATGTGATTGAGGAATCCATAGAATCAAACCACTTCTGGGAGAATTGGAATAAATTAAACAAACCTCATAATGAGGAATTGGCTATCCAAAATGGGGATATGTGGAGAAATCACTTTGCAAACCTCTACAGCAATATAACAAAGAGCCCAGAACAACAAGATATACAAGAAAAATTACAAATCCTTGAATCAGCAGTCAAAGACTATCAGAATCCTGTGGATACCCCAATTACAGAACAAGAATTATTGGAAAAACATTGCACTCTCCAACCCAAAAAGGCCTGTGGTGCTGATGGTATTTTAAATGAAATGATTAAATATACAGACCACAAATTCAAATTGGCTATACTCAAACTCTTCAACATTATCCTAACTGCAGGTATTTCCCCCGATATTTGGAACCAAGGATTGATCACACCAATTTATAAAAATGGAGACAAATTTGACCCAAATAATTACAGAGGAATTTGCGTTAACAGCAACTTGGGGAAAATTCTCTGCAGTATCATAAACAGCAGACTACATAATTTCCTTGATGAACACAACGTCCTAAGCAGAAGCCAGATTGGATTTGTAAAAAATTATCGTACAACAGACCACATTTACACCCTCCAGACTCTAATTGACAAACAAGTAAATCAAAACAAAGGCAAAATCTACTTGTGTTTTGTAGACTTCAAGAAAGCATTTGATTCAATTTGGCACGAAGGTCTTTTTTACAAACTAATAGAAAGTGGTATTGGAGGGAAAACATATGATGTTATTAAATCAATGTACACTAAAAACAAATGTGCGATTAAAATCGGCAACAAGCAAACAGACTTCTTCTCTCAGGGACGTGGAGTGAAACAGGGCTGCCCAATAAGTCCAACACTATTTAACATCTACATTAACGAATTGGCAAAAACATGAGAAGAATCGGCAGCACCTGGTCTCACCCTACACAACACTGAAATCAAGTGTCTGCTGTACGCAGATGACCTGGTGCTACTGTCTCCCACTAAGGAGGGGTTACAGCAGCATCTAGATCATCTGCACAGATTCTGTCAGACCTGGGCCCTGACCGTTAATCTAAAAAAAACGAATATAATGATATTCCAAAAAAGGTCAGGAAATCAGGATGACAAATATAAATTCTATTTGGACACAGTTCTATTAGAACACACCAAAAATTACACATATCTAGGACTAAATATCAGCAACACAGGTAGCTTTCACAAGGCTGTGAATGAGCTGAGAGACAAAGCAAGAAGAGCATTCTATGCCATTAAAAGGAATATTAAAATCGAAATTCCAATTAGAATCTGGCTCAAAATTTTCCAATCAGTTATAGAACCAATTGCTCTACATGGCAGCGAAGTATGGGGTCCGCTCTCTAATACTGAATTTACCAAATGGGACAAACATCCAATCGAAATACTGCATGCAGAGTTTTGCAAGACTGTATTGCAAGTGCAAAGAAAAACTCAAAATAACGCATGTAGAGCAGAATTGGGCCAATACCCCCTCCTTATTCGAATAGAAAAAAGAGCCATCAAATTTTACAACCATCTAAAAACAAGTGACCCCAAAACATTCCATCACACAGCTCTACTATGTCAAGAGATGAAACAAGAGAAGAGTCCCCTCAGCCAGCTGGTTCTGAGGCTCAGTTCACTAACCAAAACCAACCTCATAGAGCCTCAGGACAGCACTCAGAAAAT